AGGTCTGAGCTGAGAACACTGGGCACCGCCCTGCGCCAGGTTTTAAGGACTGTGGGCGGCCCATACAGCGACCAATGGGACAGCAGCAGGGGCGGGAGTTTGGGGGTGCTGGGTGTCACTGGGAGGGATTTGAGTGAGCCTGGAGGAGCTGGAAGGAGATTGGGGATTGGAAAGCAGGGATTGGGATGAGGTTGGTTGTGCTGGGAAGAGACTGGGAGGAGTCTTGATGAGTCCTGGTTGTGCTGGGAAGGGACTGGGAGAGGGTTTGGGGGTCCTGGGGCAGTGGGGGGAAATTGGGAGGGGGCTGTGGGATCCTGAGAGGAACAGGAGGGGCTCTGCTGGGTCCTGGGGAGGCTGGGAAGAGACTGGCAGTGATTTACCAAAATAGCAATATTGATCCAGTATCAACATCAATCTGTTAATGGGCAAAAAACCTCTCCAACAGTTTAAAGTTACAAAGTGGATGTTTAATCACAGCACTGGGCGAGTGCGGGAGTCACCCCTTAATACGCACTGCAAGTTGACAAAAGATTCCAGTGTCTATTTATTTACAAAAGTCTTGAATATCCAAAATACTAATACATATTAATACTAATGCATATGCATAATGCTAACACTTTCCGTTCCCCACTTTGGATTAGAATTCATGGTAATCAGTTTAAAATGTCATTACAACTGCGTGGTTGGCTCCCCAATTTGAGGAGGGGGTCATTTTGGTGAGGAGGGGTCATCAGGAGATGAAGGAAAACCGCTCTTCCTCACTCTCACCTTTCTACCTTTACAATGGTTCACATTACAAATGACATTTGGTACAACTCCAGTTTCCTCCCTTGTGACTTTTAAATGGGTTTCCAGATGTAAGGTCTGTGATCTTCCTGAACCCGTTTATCAGTTTCTCTTTTCTCATTATAAGAACATCTAAACAAACACACAATGAAAAGTAATTTTTTACTTAAGTCCAAGACTCATTGTCTCACATCCTGCTTCTCACTTAATCAGTAACTCGAATTACTTCCAACAAGGCCTATCTCTATCTACGATCTCCAATTTTTCTAAAGTACCTAATTTTTTTAAATTAGTGACTCCAAAGGAGGTTTCAGAGGGTCCTGGATGGGCTGGGAGAGACTGGGAGGGTCCTTGGAGGGGACTGAAGTGTCTCTGAGAAGTTTTGGGGGTCCTGACCTCTGCAGATGCCCCAGGGATGCCATCAAACGCTGCCCAACGCAAGATGCTGATGGGGATTGGAGTCTCAGTGTTGGGCTTCGTCTTCCTGGCACTGGGGCTCGGCTTCTGCCTGCGCAGGAAGGTGAGGGAGGGTTCTGGGGTTCGTGTCCTCCCCCCCACAGAGCGAGTGTGCTCCCCTCAGAGCCCCCAAGCCCAGTGTCACCCCCTTTTCTCTGCCCACACAGCTCCTGAGGCAAAAGGTTCCAAGGATTGAAAGTCAACAATTCCCATTGTCATTCTGTATCCTGTTGAATTTCCATTCCCCTGCTTTCATCCAGGTGCCCACAGGGAGCCAGGAAGATGTGGAGCCTCCCAGCCAGGTGTCTTCCCAACACGCATCACCAGGACCACGGATCACCAGGGCTCTGCCCAACGGGGGTCACTGGGGATCATCCAACGCCCATCCTCCCATGGGGGATGGAGCTGGAGCAGCGCACGAAGCTCTTCCCGCACTCGGGGCACTCGCAGGGCTTCCCTTACTGGTGCCTCCGTTGGTGTCGGGTCAAGTGAGAGCTCCGTGAGAAGCTCTTCCCACACTGGGGACACTCGTAGGGCCTCTCCCCAGTGTGGATGCGCTGGTGCCTGATAAGGGTGGAATTCTGCTGGAAGCCCTTCCCGCAGTCGGGGCAGCGGAAGGGCCTCTCCTCTGTGTGAATCCACTCATGTCTGATGAGAGTGGAGCTGCACTGAAACCTCTTCCCACACTGGGGACACTCGTAGGGCCTCTCCCCAGTGTGGATGCGCTGGTGTTTTCTCAGGTCAGAGTTCCTCCCAAAGCTCTTCCCACATTCCAAGCAGGTGTAGGGCCGTTCCCCTGTGTGGATCACCTGGTGTCTCATCAGGTCAGAGATATTTCTGAAGCTCTGCCCACATTTCCCACACTCATAGCGTTTTTCCCCAGTGTGGATCCTCTGGTGTTTCCGCAGGCTGGAGCTCTGGCTGAAGCTCTTCCCACATTCCCCACACTCGTAGGGCTTTTCCCCAGTGTGGATCACCTGGTGCCGGTGCAGGTTGGACCTGTAGCTGAAGCCCTTCCCACATTCCAAGCACTTGTGGGGCTTCTCCCACAGCTCTGAGCTCCGGCTGGATCTCTGGCCGTGTTCCTGGCACTGGGGGGATCTTTCCTCCTCGCAGCTCCCTGGGCTCGGTCTGCAGCTCCTCCTGGTGTGGCATCTCCAAAGTTTTTTCTCCTCCATCTGGCCACAGCTTGGGAAAATAAAATCCTGGCTTGGGGGAAAAAACAAGAGGAGAGCGCCTTGGACTGGGGCCTCCTTCTTCCAAAGTTCATCTCAGGAAGTCTTTGGGAAGCTTGTGTCTTTAACAAACCAAAACACCAAGATTCAGCCCAAACATCCTCTGAACATCAAGAGACAGATCAAAAACTAATCAAACATCAAGATTCAGCCAAACCCTCCTACAGAACAGAAAGATTCAGCCCCTGCAAAAGAACAAAGCACCAACATTTAGCCCAATAAAGCTCAGAACCACCAAGGTTCAGTCCCAGGAAAATCATGGATCCCCCTCCCCAGTCACCTGCTGACTGTGATCAGGGCAACACTCCTGGGACAGCACATACAGGGAGAGTGGAACCTTGTGCTGCTTCCTCTTCCTGCTCTTCCTCCTCCGTGTCCCTACTCTTCCTCACACTCCACTTCCCCCTTCTCCTGCACAATCCCACCTTCTCCTCCCACGTGAATCCTTTGAACATTTTGCTCTTCAACCCTGCTTCTCCATCCCTTCTCCTCCTGCCCCCAGGCCCAGCACCCACTGCCGCCTCCCTCTTCCCCCCCAGTCCCACAGCATCCCACCGCAGGGGCACGGATGCAGCTGGGCCAGCTCGGCCTGGGGCAGCGCTGGGCTCTCGGCCGCTTCCGCCCGCACTCGCTCCCCACTGCAGCCGCTCCCGCCACCACAGCGCGGGGGGGC